TAATAAGAAATTTACATCTAACCAAATTAAGTTGGCACTGTGGATCAGCACTGGACTGTGAACCACAAGTTCAGCAGTTGAAATTCACCAGCTGCTCCTCAGAAATCCTGGATCAGGGTCGCTATGAGTTGGAATCGACTCAATGGTTTTTAACGATATTTAGATTCTTCTCAGTAGTAACAAGATTTTATATGAAAATTTTTTTTTCTGATTACTGCAACTCTTTTCAATTCTTTCATAACTGTTAAGTGGCATAGACTCGATTTCAACTCATAGTGACCCTGTATAGGGTTCTGAGGCTGTAAATTTTACAGGAGCAGAATGCCTCAATTTTCTCCCGCAGAGCAGCTGGTGGGCTCAAACCGCTGACTTTATGGTTCACAGTCCAGTGCTTATCCTATGGAGCCAACTGTGCTCCCTTCTCATATGTAATATCCATTTATTACTTCTACTTTAGTTGGTTTATCCTGCAAATACCACTTAGAATTCCAAAGAATCCTTATTTTTATAAGGATTATTATAAGCATACTAGATTGTTATAAGCATACTAGATTGTTTTCTAGTTATACATTTACTTATGCAGCTTTTGAGGTGCTATGGTGGAAACTTGGTTAACTCCGTATTGGTGATTGCTCTATACTTAAGAGTTAATAAACTTCTGATCCTGAAATAGACTTCGGATCCTTGAGGAAAACTAGTTTCTACGTTTTACAAGATTGTTGTTGTTGTTAGGTGCCATAGAGTCGGTACCGACTCAGCGACCTTATGCACAACAGAATGAAAACACTGCCCGATCCTGGGCCAACCTCACAATTGTTGCCATGCTTGACTCTATTGATGCTGCCATTTTGCCAGTCTATTTCACTGGAGGTCTTCCTCTTTTTCTATGACCCTCCACCCTACCAAACATGATATCCTTCTCCAGCGACTGGTTCCTCCTGACAATATGTCCAAAGTATGAGAGACGAAGTTTGGCCATCTTGGCCTCCAAGGGGCATTCTGGCTGCACTTTTTCCAAAACAGATCTGTTGGTTCTTTTGGCAGCGCATGACACTTCCAATATTCTCCTCCAACACCATAACACAAAGCATCAATTCTTCTACAGTCTTCCTTATTCACTGTCCAGCTTTCGCATGCATATGTTATTGAAAATACCGTGGCTTGGGTCAGGCGCACCTTAGTCCTCAAGCTGACATCTTTGCTCTTTAAAAAGGTCTTGTGCAGCAGATTTACCTAATGCAATACGTCGTTTGATTTCTTGACTGTTTGATTTTACAAGATAACACTCAGTTAATCTATATTTAAGCACTTGTATTTGCTTTTATCCCTAATTCATCCCTCTCAAACTATTTAAAACAGAATTTAAGAAATAACTAGTTTTAATGATTTCCTTGCTGTATTTCCAGCAAAGACCTCATTTACTTTTAAAGTTTACCATTTAAAAAAAAAAAGATTGGAGTGACCACTGGACCCAAAGTTCCCTAATGGAAGGTTTTTTTTAATTTTTTTTTTTAACATTCCTTTTCTTTTTGAAAGAACAGTAGTTAAGTACGGCATTAGGGAGGTGAAGTGCAGGGAATTATGGCTCTTCTGCCACAGTCTTTGTACTTACGCCTAATGAGTGGGTGGGACTATGGTGGAGGGAAAGCTGATGTGAATTGGTTGGTTTCACCATTTTGCTGGGTTTCAAATGAGCCATCTCAGAAGTAGGAACAGAGGATCTCAAGACCATCAAGAAAGGCAAACCATGAGCAAAAAGCATCCTTGGGAGCACAGGGTCTCTGTGCCGAGCAGCAGTGGTGGCAGAAGTGGCAGCATAGGCAGTCAGTGTCATGGAGAGACGGAGAAGAGTGCCTTCAGGCAGGAGACTTATTTGCAGAATTGGGTGCCCTTTGAGCATTTATCAGGAGGGCTGAAGAAGCTTGTAACACTTGCTCGAGAAAATCAGAGGCCAAAGGGCCTCATGGCTGACAGGTAGAGGACTAGAAAGGCATACCTATGGTATGGCAGAAGTGCTCCTGACCAGAGAACTGCTGTGTCCTGACTTGTTTCTGATCATGAATTGCACCTGCCCAGGTGTGGTGCTGTGGCATAAGCACTGGTCCACAGGTTGGTTTGGACCAGAAGAACAGCAGTTCAAACTTACCAGCCACTCCTTGGAAATCCTATACAGGGTCGCTGTGAGTCAGAACCAACACAACAGCACTAAACAACAACAACTTGCTAATAAACCCCGTAAGTGTGAGTCAGTACAGTCTGTGACTCTGCAATGGATTATTGAACCCAGCAGAGAAACAGTGTCACAGTAGGAATGGTTGGTGTCAGAATAGCATAAAGAAGGTTTGAGGCTGGAGGCATGTCTGGTCTCTGCCTCATAGGAACCAACCTTGGGTTGATGAGAAGTTTAATTCTCCTTCTCCTTTTGTAGTTGGAGGAAGACAGACACCGTCTCCAAGCCATTTTTGTAGGAAGGTAATATAAAATCCAATTCTGAAGCAGTTCTCCAGTCCCCATGTGGGAACTACGGTTGAATCCAATGAGAAATTTTATACGATCATGTTATTTGTAATTTCCTTGTGAACTATGTATTATGTTTATTTCGCTTGCCAAAACACATGACAAAATAAACATTAATTTCCATCCTTGAAACCCCTATTTTATTTCAACACTTTTGAATTTGTTGCTTTCATCTTATCTTTTTAAATTATGTATGGACACAGAACATGAGTGGATCAAAGCACTGACTTCAATTCTCAGTATTTCTTAATACTTGTGGTAAAAACAAAGGGTAATTGAGATAAAGGAATTTCACAGTTCATTTAAAGAATAGGTAAAAGTAACACCCACTTTTCTGAAGAAGTAACCAAATTCTTCCTTACATATGTGAATGTTGTAGAAAGGATAAAGAACATTGGGTAAACTATGATTCACCATAAGTAATCGCTGTGGGCTAATGCGTCAGACTGCAATGCCGTTTGAACTGCAAGGTCGGTGGTTCAAGCTCACTAGTTGCTCCTTGGAAACCCTATACAGGGTCACTATGGTTCAGAATCAACTCAACAGCACTTAACAACAACAATGTAAAAGGTTAGACTTCATGGTCAATTAGTGTACTTCGTTCAGTTCAGCTTTCCACCGCCACTATAGTTTTGTGTACTGCTGTACAGTAAGCACTGGATTGCTAACCAAGAGGTTGGAGGTTCGAACCCTCTAGTCATTCTTGGAAACTCTATGAGTTTGAACTGACTTGATGGCACACAACAACAAATATATTTTTTAATAAGAAAAAGTCTTTAGTACTATTACTGTAATAACCTCATTAATACATTAAGTTGTAGAGCTCCATTTGAAGGAATATAATTTTGACCCACTTAAATTTCTGAAGCTTCAGAGAGCCTACATTCTTCTTCCATTAACAATGCCTATTTTTAAATCTAAGAACACTTGAGCAAAGGAAAAACAAGAATACAAAAAGAACAAAACCTTTGTCCCGTATCTTTAAAGATGAATAGTATAAATTCGCGATAATCTGCTGTCCTTACCCATTACCTGTCTGTCACTTTGTCATACTCGGGTGACCTGGGTCTTCTGGCTGTGATGCTGAAAGTGTTACCATCAGTATTTCCAATACCAGCAGGTCATACACACTGGACAGGTTTCAGTGGAGCTTCCAAACTAAGACAGTCTAGGAGGAAAGCCTTGTGGACCTACTTCCAAAAATTAGTTAATAAAACCCATATGGATCACCACAGACTACTGTCCGGTACAGGCTGGACGCTGCTGCACATGAGGCAAAAAATAGGCTCTGACATACCAACAATCATGAAGATGGTGTGGAACCAGGCAACGTTCACCTCTGTCAGACACAAGGTCACCAGGAGTCGGAGTTGCCTCTGTGGAAACTAACAACAAACATTCCAGCAACATGCAGCCAGATTCAAACACAAAAACATCACACAGAAAACAGAAACATTTTTAAAAAAAGATTTAAGATCATAAATAGGTCACTGTTGTCACAATACATTTCAGAATTGAAAAACAAACATTTCTGCTATTTAGGTAAAGATTTTTTTTTCCTTTTAAATCAATTCTCTCATTATTGAAAGGACTTGTACATGTTAAGATTTCCAGTCTCCTAAGGCACAATATTTATTTAATCAGAATGCTGATGTCACCACCCACTGTAGCAGGAATAAGAAGCCAAGTCTTAGCAATAAGAAAAACAGCAAATTCTAGAGACAAAATTGTCTGTCACTGAGAAAAAGGAGACAGAAACAGACTAAGTGATGGACATTTTAGTTAGGAAGGCCAGTGTTATTATGCAGGACACTGTATTAAATTTCTTTTTAAAAATCAAAACAGATTTAATTCATCATAGAGGAACTATAAGAGGAAAGAAGGACTAACAAAATACAGTATACTTCTCTCAGAAAGGGCTTGGGAGACAAAAATAATCCACTTAGAATAGTTATGGAACGGCAAACATAATATGGAACTGAAATTGGAGTCTGAATTTATTACAAATCATCAGACAGGTTCAGAAAATAAACGGAGAGTAAACCTAGGTAAACATAATACCTAGGTACAGACTGTAAGGCATCTGTCTCCTAATCAGCTGTCCTTCTCTTAGCCTACTACCCACCAAGTGAGATGTAGTGAATTGGGTGCTTAAATTGTTATTTTTATACAACCAAAAAGTTCTTGAAAATACAACATAAAGTAAAAATTCCTCATTTTTATCCCTGCCTTGCTTTGTCCTCTGTGACACCCACTGAACTTTAAGGTTTTCTATGTACAAAGCATGTAGTGATTTAGTGTTTTCTTTCAAAGAAAAAACCCCCACAAGGTTAGTGATTGTCCAACGATGAAACATGGGATGAGGTTCATGGCGGAATCGATCATGGAGTGTTAGTGAACTGTAAACTCTTGAAAGTGAAGACTGGAAAACGTGTGTATCAGACACATTAGAGTACAGCCAGGAAGGAAGGGAAGCCTGTTTGTCATTCCAATTCTGACAAGGTACACGGTCTTCGAAATTCTTGTCCACGTTCATGGAGCCATTTATTAGATACTGTGAGAAAAAACATAAAGAATATATTAATTTCCCCCTCTAATTAGTGCTTCATTAATGCTAAAAGTTATGTCTGTAACAAAGCTTTAACGTGAGCTAAAACGTCAAGACTGAAACTTAACAAACACAGATGTTACTTCCACAGTCTATATTAGAAACATACAAGATTAAAACATTACAAAGGACTTCAAAGTTTGTGTATGGCGTATCTCCTAGAGCTTCCATTGTTCAACGTGAGGCTGGAAATGAGACACAAATGCAGTGCAGATACAAGTACTGATAGAACAGAACACTTTTATTTTTTCTTTCCTTGTTTTCAAAGGACAACTTTCAAAGTACAAAGACATTTTTTAAAGATCAACATAAAGTTCCCACTCTAAAGGAGCAACTCATGAATTGTATATGCTTATTGAGTTCTGGTGTGGCGCTGTGGGTTAATGCACTAGACTGCAAAGCCGTTTGAACTGCTAGGTCAGTGGTTCAAGCTCACCAGATGCTCCTGAGAAACCCTATCCAGGGTCGCTATGGGTTGGAACCGACATGATGGCCCTTCACAACAACAACAATAACAATTCAATTTCCTTAGTTCCAAGATACCTTTTTATTTTTAAATGTATTCTGTAAGGAATTAATTTTCTACTCTTGTGTCTCCAGTGTCATAGAACCCCGTCAATGGCACCAGCATGCACAAAATATCTAAACAAGGAACATTAATAATTCACAACGCCTCTTCTACCTTTTTTTTGTTCATTCAAGTTCATCCATTTCCTTTTTATGTCTCTTGAATCCATTCTCTCTTTTCTCGTCCTCTTGCTGTTGCCTCAGTCCAGGCTTTCATCCCTACACACTTTTGTTGTTAGTGCCACTGAGTCGGTTCTGACATATAAACAGCCCTGTATAGGACTTCCGGGGAGCAGCTAGTGGTTTGAACTGCTGACCGTGTGGTTCGCAGTCCAGTGCTGATCCTACAGCGCCACACCAGGAGTCCCACTGCCCACTTAGAAAATGGAAAAGAACCTTCTAAATGGATCTCTGTTCCACTAGCCTCTCCTCTCTCTACTCTAGTTGTTCCAAAACAATTAGGTAGGGAGATTTTGAAATACCCTGACGATCAGGCCTCACCTCTTAATCTTGTTATGTCCAATATAGTAGCTGCTAGACATAAGGCTACTAAGTACTGGAAATGTGGCTACTACCACATACTGAAATGGATATGTAAGGTCAGGGTTCTTTGTCAACTTGACCAGGCCAAGATTTCCAGAGGTTTAGCAGTTGAGATGTGCTTATTCCATGATGATGAAACCTAATACAGGCAGAGTTAGCTCTATGCTGAGTGGCTGTTTTTTAAAAAGGCAGTCAAACATAAACCTTTTAAAACTATTAAGTTCAATCTTTTCTGTGGTGCTGTAGGATAAGCACTGGACCACAAGGTTGGTTTGAACAAGGTTGGCAGTTCGAACCCACTAGCTGCTTCACACACACACTATACAAGGTGGCTATGAGTCAGAACCATCTCGACAGCACTTTAACAACAACAATAACAAAAACATCATTATAAAATAGATATATATGTGTGACAGAAATTGGAAATTATGATTACAGAGAATTTGTAAGCCTGCTTTCAGCCAACACTTGATTGAACTTTCTAAAAGAGGAGTTAGAATTTGCCTGAAAGGTTCTTGCTCTAAACCTTTGTAGAGTATGGGCCTTAGAGGGATCCTGAGCCCCACCCGGGCCTTCAGAGATTGGATATTTGCATTTGAAAAGACATGAAGACCAATCCAGAACTGCACTGAAAACTGGAGATTCAAGACTGAAAGAAAGCTGAGGTTGGGGGTAGGGACAGACAGTTTGAGGTTCTGAGGAATCAAGGCAAGGGAAGTCCACCCATCAGAGAAAATCCCCCTCTAGGACTGAGAGTTCAAGGAACCAGAAAGCCATCTGCTATGCTTGCTGATGACCAGCTGGTCTATGTGTGAATGGAATTAGGGGAAATTCAGCTAGGAAGACACGGGCTGAGTTTGGACTTGTCCTATTGACACTAGGCAACCTTGAGATGAGAGATAGAAGAGGAAGGGCTGGTCTGAAGTTTAAGGAGTTGTGTGAACTCCTGAGCCCACAGGCACTTACCTAGTTGGGGGGTAGGACGGGAAGGCTAGAGGTGAGACTGAAGGAGCCAGTTGGTGTAAAGGGCAGGGAGGTGTGTGTGAACTCGCAAACTTGGAGTTGACCTCGCTTGGATGGCTAGGGCTGACTTGTGACCAGACCTTGACGAGATGACAATAAAGATGTTTGATACTCTGAGCAAGTATGAACCACTACAATTCGTTGGACTGGAATTTAGCTTATGCTTACAGTTGCTCAAAATTCCAACTGGAATGGAAGACTCTTCAGATCAAGGAACCTGCCTGTCTTCTCAGTGTACTGGAGTTGGTGTTATTGTTAAGTGCCGGTGGGGAATTTAAACACTGATTACCAAACATAGGGTGTGGCTATAAAGGCATGAGGAATCCTGGTATGGAACTGTAGGATCAGCACTGAACTGTGAACCCACCAGCCGTTCCTCGGAAAATCTATACAGGTTCACTATGAGTTGGAAACAACTCGATGGCACTTAACCACAACAACATGAGGCATGAAGTGGCTGCTTACAAGCTTTCCTGGGTGTCTTTAGTTTAGATTAAAAGAGATGATAGAATTCCCACTGAATAGTTTTCCTCTTTTACAAATGGGTTTGGAGAAAGGGAGTGGGGGATGATCCTGATAGGATTTTATGATTCAATTGTGTTAGTAGGATTAATTGTGAGTGTCAAACTGCAATTGTAGAAGACATGTAACTAAACGAGGGGAGTAGTTAAACTTTCATTTCAGGAAAAGACAATCCCAGGAAGAACATGAGTGAAGCGTGTGATCCCTACCGGGAGGAACAGTGACAACAGCTAGAGCAACAGAAGATCCATCTTCAAAGAAAGAGCAGCAGGAAAAACCCAAAACAAAAACGGCAGCATGACTGGCTACTACAACACTAAGCAAGCTGTTCACTGTGAAGCTATCATCGAGGCAAGCAATCAAGTTCCTTCAGGACAAACCCCCCTCTCTAAGACAGAAACTCAAAGGGAACACATGAGCAGGCATGTAAGCTTGCTGGTGATTACACTGGTCTACTGGAGAGTGGAAGAGGGGGAAAGGCAGCAATGAAGAAATGGGCTGAGTTTAACCATATTCCATAGCCATTCTGGAGATGACAAAGAAAAGAGGAAGCGCTGGTTGGTCCACAGTGTGGTGAAACCTGGGAATACCTGAGCCCATGGACAAGGACATAGCCACAGAGGGCAAGAGCTGAAAGTGAAGCATCCAGCTGATATGAAGTGAGGGGTGATGCACAAGAACACCCAAACTTGCAGATAGTACCCATTTGACCTGGCCTTGATGGCTTGATAATCAGAACTCGACTAGAGGACGATAAAAAGGAAGAAAGAAAGAAAGCAGTGAGAGTAGACAGTGGGAGAGGCGGCGGCATGGAAAGGCTGAGCAGCCACAGCCCATGGACTGACTTAGCTGTGTGTCCACAGGCAGGACGCTGGCTTGCACAATATGCCCTTTGTGGACATTTATATGAATATATATTTTTTGTTTCATATGTATACATCAAATATTTTTGCTTTGTTCATTTGTCACATATAAGATGTAAATGGGGCCAGTGTATTTTCGCTTGTACATGTTTTATATCATGTTAGGAGCAAGTATGATTTGACAATTTTCTTTATTTAGAGATTATGCATATAGTTTATAAGTTTCAAGTTGACAAGAGGGGACTGTAATGGTTAGGGTTATATGTCAACTCAACTAGGCCAGGTTTCCAGAGGTTTAGTAATTGAGATGTGCTTATTTCCATGGTGATGAAACCTAACACTGGCATAGTTACCTCTATGATGAGTGGCTATGAGCAACCAATCAATTTAAGGGATACTTCTTTGGGGGTGTGGCCTGCTCCCAATATAATGGACATGTAGAAATGCTCTCTCTCTATATATATATTTCACTGGTTTTGCTTCTCTAGAAAACCTGGCCTAAGACAGGAGATAGTTGTTGTTGTTGTTGTTAAGTGCCGTCGAGTCGGTTCCGACCCATAGCGACCCTGTACAGGGATAGTAGATCAAATAAAATATACCGTTAATATTAATTTCCCCTACTTTTTATTTTTTAACGTGACCAAACCTAACTTATAGGACCTTCAGCGGGAGTGCTGCCTTGAATGCCTGAAAAAATTATTACTTAATCTTCAGGGCCAAATTTGAAAATCAAATTTGAAGAACACCCCAAAACTTGACAAAGCATATCTTTGTATTACTATGTACTATACTGTACTCAGGACTCCTGCCTGGTTGGCAAACCACAAAGTCAGCAGTTCAAACCTACCAGTTGCTCCCTGGAAACCCTGTACAGGGCCATTATGAGTAGGAACCAACATGACAGTGCTTAACAACAACATCAGAGTGTAGTCAGCAGCTCAGGAGTCCTGGTACGGCACTGTCAGATAAGCACTGAACCAGGTGGCAGTTCAAACCCATCAAGTTGCTCCTCAGAAACCCTATACAGGGTCTCTATGGGTCAGAACTGACTAGACAGCACTTAACAACAACAACAACAACAGCGTACTCTACACAAACCTATCCATTACTCTAGCTAATGAAGAACCCCTTGGGGGAAAGCTAATGTCTTATTCAACCTTAAATTATGTTTCTTGGCGTAACAGTTAGAAATAAAGTTAAAAAACTCTCTAGTATAGAAGTGGATCACATTAGAACAAATGAAATATATTTCCATCTACTGAATGCAAATTTATGTTGTGATCAGAAACCTAGTTGGCTGAATTCCTTCTAGTGTTAAAGTCCTATCAGATCAAATCTATGTGGGTTTTGGGGTTCTGGTGTGGTGCTGTAGGATAAGCACTGGACTGCTAACCACAAGGTCAGTAGGTCAAAACGACAAAACGGCACTAATAACAACAAGGCAGCTTAGGTTTTGTTTTTGTTTTCTTGTAAGATGTCAATTATTATAGTTTTCAAAATATGGGACAAAAAACAAACATGGAACAAAAATTCTATCGGAGAACATAGGAAATATTTACCCCATTTATTTCCAACTAGCACCGGGCAGGCTGCGTGTCGCGTGCTGTAGTCCCCTTCCCCACTGGCAAACAAATTATACCAGAAAACAGCAGTGCCCTGTGGAGAACAACACCAAATTAGTCCCAAATAAAATGCTAGTACCTACACTTTCTGTTGTACTTCAATTTTCTTTTATTCCTGAAGAAAGATTCTTCTCTGGTAGCATCTTCCTCTACAATAATGTGATTATATCACTTTAAACTCTGTTCTTGGACACATGAACACGTTAATATCACAAAGCTGTTTGACAAAAGGGGCACCTGTCAAAACAGAAAGCTAACAAATCCTACAATAACAAGATGGCAGAGAACATCATAAGGACCTGTGATACAATTAATTTCTTAATGTGGTCTTTGTAGTTCTAATCAAATGTCTGAGTGGGTCAATGCAAATCCACCAAGGAGATTGCATAGCTTGCTACCAATGTAAATAAGATGCATGACACACTTTGTAGGGGTGGGACCATACAAATCCCATGCATGAAACCTGTAAGCCTGCTAGGCTTAAAGGGGGACATGGAGAGAGAGGAGCAGCTCCACAGAGGACAACAAGTGTCAGTACTCCTCAGCAAGAACAAAAGCAGCGTGACAAGTCAGGGATCAGGAGTCCAGACCAAGACAGCCAAGGTGACTTGAGAGTTAAGAGTTGTAACACGCGTCATGTCCATGAAGGCCACCAGCAGGGCCCCGAGGCAGCAAGCCCTCAGCAGGGCCTGGCGGCACAGGGCAGAAGAAGCTCTTCTGGTGGAGGAACTGCATCCTGAGTTGTTTCTGTGACTTTCAGTTGATCCTGACCCCGACTTGTAGCCCGTTACTCCCCTAATAAAACACTTAACTGTACGTGTGGCTCATGAGTCCAGGGAGACTAGAGCAATTTACTGAACCCTAAGGTAGGAGGGTGAGTACTGGGCAAGGTGAGGGTCTGGGAGTTCACTGGTGTTAGAAATGATGGGATGGTGCAGCACTTTGGAAGAGCTGGATATTGGGAACATCTTTAACCTCCACCTCATAGAAACCAGCTTTGTGTTGATCCTTTTCAAAGAAATTACTCAGTTAGGAACCCCTTTTAGGAAACAAAAATTTTAAACATCAACCCTTGGTTGTTCATTACCTCTAGGTATTCATGGTAAACTGACATAAACATTTGCCAGATTTTACCTTTTGTTTAAGGATAATGTAGTCTTTACCATTTAAAATGTAATTCATTCCTTAAACCATGAAATGCAAGTACACCTCTACCTCAGGGAAAAATAAAGAGACCCAAAACATTAAAAATAACAAACATGCCAAATTTACCTTTTTGGGCCAAACACTAGCTCCTACTTCCGGGAAAACAGTGGCTCCACCTGCTGACACATCACTCATCTATATAAGACAGGAGAGCGTTTAGTATCTCAACTGCTGGCAGAATAAAGTCAACAAGTTGTGCAGGAAAAGAAAAGGGTATTATGTGGGCCATCTGTGAACAGTGTTAAAGAGTTGAAAAAATAAATACTGACCGAACCAAAAGACTATGCAACTGTATTAGGAACTGCACGGTGCATACATTAAGTGGGTGCAAATACTCTACACACAGAGATTGAACTCTAATAACATAGTCGCAATATTCATAAAGCAAAGAACTATGAGTAGAAATGGGAACACAGAATAGGAGACTTTAATGGCTGGCTCTTAAACAACTGAGAAAATGTTTAACCTCTCTAACAAGTGAAATGCAAACCAAAACCACAGTTAACTGCCAATCTTAAAGGTGAAGTCAGACAAACCTGTTTCTGTTGTTAAGTCTGTTCCAACTCATAATGACCCCGTATAGGGTTTCTGAGGAGCGGCTGGTGCATTTGAACCACAAACCTTATGGTTAGCAACCCACTGCTTATCCTAGAGCACCACACCAGGGCTCCTGATTATACTCGAAGTGGGATATCAACGTGTGTGATTCACCTTTAGAAAGTATACAAGACTTCACAGCATGGATTTTGTATACTCGACCAAAATCTCTCAAGGAACTCTGGTAGTGCAGTGGTTATGAATTGGCCTGCGAACCTCAAGATCAGCAGTTCAAAACTACCAGCTGTTCCATGGGAGAAAGATGAAACTCTCTGCTCCCGTAAAGATTTACAGCCTTGGAAACCCTGTACAGGGCTGCTATGAGTCAGAACCGACTCCACGGCACATAACCACCACCACCACCACCTCGCATGGGTTTCCCTTTGTGACACTTTTCTCATATTTTTCATTTATTTTATCTTACATGGGAAGGGCTGGAAATGGGGAGGAGGGCAGTAAGGAGGGAAGGAGGTCTGATACAGGGAGGGAAGGCTACAGAGGGGGAGCTCTAAGGAAGGAGGGAAAGGAGTGTAGGAAATGGGGTACGATAGATAAAACAAGTGGTGGCAGAGAGAGAACAAAACACAGAGGTCAATAGGGAGCAGACAGATACAGAGAGATTGGAAGGGGGTGAGGTTTATTAAATCCAAGAGATGCAAAGTTTCATATGATTCAAGTTGGGGATGGGGGAAAGAGATAGAAAGAGTAATAAAATAAGCAAAATTAAGTCTAAATCTAAAATTTATCTCTTACGTTAACAAAGGTTATAGCAGTATGGCAAGTTGCATTTTCAAATCTAATAGATCCTAATTGATCCCATCCTCCACGTTCCTACAATGGGACACCGAGAGTGCTCTCCAGTGGCAGCATTCCTTCTACCCTGCAGACCTGTATAATTGCCTGGATTCACAGAATCCAGCAAAGGAACACTGGGATTCCTATGAGAGGTCATAAACAGGCTACGCACTTCTGCCTTGTTCTCTTGTGATGCTTGCTACCATAACCCAGCCACAATGTGTGCAGAGGCCCAGGCCACAACTGACCAGGTACAGGTGCTTCTGACAACAGCCAGCCTCTACCTCAGCCTCTGAGATGGCTACAGCCCCAGGCCTCATCTGACTGCAAATGTTCATGAGATCCGGAGCAAGAGGCAAGAGCAGCATCCATTCAACCATGAAATAATAAGAACATGTGGTTGTTTTTAAATGTTGGGGTGGTTTGTTATGCACCAATGGAAATGGAGTAAATATGATCAAAACCTAATTTTTCTGCATGTATGAATACATAAACAATGCCAAAAATTAAGAACATACTATTTTTAGAGTTTAATAAAGGTGAGAGTGGGGCTGTAAACTACTGTAATACATTAATTCAGAAGCTAGTGTGATGATACTTTGTGAAAATTTATCAAACTATACACTTATGCTTTGTGTACCATTCTGAAGTGTGTATGAGGGAGATTCAAAAAGTCTACGGAAAAATGGAATTAAAGATAATCAAATTTTTGATACATTTTTGAAGCTCCTCATATTATAACTTCAATAAAAAATTTAATTCATAAGAAAACTTTACTAAAATAATCTGTGTATATATATAAACATAAAATCATGCAAATATATAAATTCTTACATATACACACACATATATATATAACTAAAGAGATAGTTCATACTCCAAAATAATAGGAACATTGAGGAGTTTTCAGTTTCTTCAGATTTTTTTCAAAAATTTCTACCATGAACATTTTATTATCTGAGTAAAAAGTTACAAATGAAAACAATCTTTCATTCCTTTTACTCAGCTGTGAAAACTGTAAGATGTTAAAGAGTTAAGCAGAACAAACTTAATATCAAAGTAAATGAATCATGTCACCAGATCCCAACTTAAAAACTTGAGCCATAACTTACATAAAACAGCCATGTAGCAATTCTATTTCCCGTCCCCAGCTCTTTGAAAGCATCTGGCTCATCTTTCTGTGAATAAAACACAGCTAATTCAATGGTGTAAAATTCAGTAATGCAAACATTCCAGTGACAACTAAACACCAATAATATGCTGAAGGGTATCCAAAACCAACCCAAAAGTTTCCTTTATAATAGGCAGGGCACTATACAGACCAGGTATACTTGTTAACTGTTGCTTTAGCTTGTACAATGAATATTTCTGACAAGGCCTTGAGGGATAAATGATTTGTTAAGTCTAGATCCATTCAAATATTTACTACTATTATAATTTTTTTTCTTTTGGACAACCAGCATTTTAATCTGCCTAGAGAATTCAGATAGTTAAAATTTAAATCTAAATGGAAATACAATATAATCTTTTGGAATTTGTCCCAGAAGCAATGAAAATAGGATTGACGTAGAAACTTATACACAAATGGTCATAGCATCTTTATTTACAGTAGTCCCATGCTGTCCATATGTCTTTCCAAAGGCAACCATTTAAACAATACTACAGAATATCCAAGGAGCTCTGGTAGCGTAGTGGTTACTATTGGGCTGTGAACTGCATGGTCAGCAGTTGGAAACTACCAGCTGTTTCCAAGGAGAAAGATGAGGCTGTCTGCTCCCGTAAAGATTTACAGCCTTGGAACTCCGGTACAGGGTTGCTATGAGTCAGAACCGACTCCACGGCACATAAACAACACCACCACCACCACAGAATATCCATCCCATGAAATGCTACTTAGCAATAAAAAGGAAATGTTCTATTAATACACACAACTTGGATGATCCACAAGGGAAATACACTGAGTGAAAAGAGGCACTCTCAAAAGCATATGTACTGTATCATTCCATTTACATAACATTCTTGAAAGAACAAAATTACAGAGAAGGAGAATAGATTTGTGGTTACCAGCCCTTAGGGATAGAGAATGGGAAGGTGCGGGTAGCCATAAGCAGTACCACAAGAAAGCCTTGTGGTAACGGTACGGACACAGTGTTTTGATTGTGGTGGTAGTTACACAAAGCTTTACATGTGATAAAACTAAAGAGAGCTACACACACACACACACACACATACACATACAAGTGCAAGGAAAACTAGGGGAATCAGTGAGTTCTGCAGATCGTACCAATGTCAATTTCCTGGTTTTGATGTATACCCCCCTGTTGGTGTGGCACTGTGGGATAAAAGCACTGGACCACATGGTTGGTTTGAACCTCAAAGCTGGTGATCCAAACTCACCAGCTGCTCCTCGAAAACTCTATACAGGCACTTAACAACAACATAGTTGCATAGCATATATATTATTTTGTTAAGTGCCTTCGATGCCAGATGGTAATATTAGGGGAGGTTGGGTAAAGAGCACATGGGACCTCCCTGTATCTTTCTTTGCAATCTTCTTTAAACCTATAGTGTTTAAGAATTTAAAGTTTAAAAAAGAATTTAATAATAATAATTTCAGGACTTGAACTGTTCAGCCTTTGCTTAATCCAAGATCCTCTGACATTTTTCAATCACTGAAAATCGAAGAAAATGAAACTTAAAAATGTTTTATTTTCTGGCCTACAAAAAAACCGTTCTAAAATTCTGAAATTTAAGCGAGCAAAGGACTATAACACAAGATAGTGTTTTCTTTACGAAACAACAACTAGCTACACAAATATAAAAATACAGTAATAAATCAAGAAGTTTATTAAAATACCTGGCACACTCATTAGGATCATATTTAGTTACAAAATAAGTTTAATTCATTAAGATCTGGTAATGCTATAATTTATAGCTGAATATTTTACAGAAGTAAATATATATATATATTTGTCTTAAGCAAGAGTACTTGGGCAAAGGTGAGCTTTTTACAAATCTCCTCAAAATTACCTATTTTCCTTGCTTTTCTATTTTTGATCTTTTTCTTTAAAAAAAAAATCATGTATTACAGTATAATTTACAGACCATGAAATTTACTGTTTTCGAGTACAGAAGTCTGTGGGTTTTAGTATGTTGACAGATTTGTGCAACCACTAGCACAACTGATTTTTTTATTGTGGTAAAAATACACGTAACAAAACACCTGCCACTTCAACATTTTCTACACGTGCGACTCAGTGACACTCTTTTCATCATGATAACCACCCCGTTGTCCATTTCCAAATTGCCCCATCACCAGTACCAGAAACCAAGTGTCTCCCTTTCTCCTACAAGTGGTAACCACTTAAAAACTTGATCCATTTACTAATTCTAAATATTTCATTTGAGTGGGCTCACACAGTCTTTGTTCCATTGTGACTTACCTATTTCATCTCATGGATGTTTTCATTCATGTTGTAACATGTGTCAGGACTTTATTTTTTAGTATGGTTGAATCATATTCATAAATATACATTTGTATGGATATATCATCTTTGGTTTATCAGTTGTTGTTTTTTTTTAATAATGAGATTTGTTTGCAGATTTTCATTAAAAAGGACATTTTCCTTCACAGGTTATTATTGTGACTCTAAATACATAGATCCTTGATATCTTTCTTTCTTTTCTAATTGTGATTTGGGTGAAAGGTGACAGAGCACATTGGTTTTCCACTCAACAGTTCATACACATTTTGTTTTGTGACACTGCTTGCAATCCCACCATGTACAAGACCTCTTCCCACCTCTTTCCTGCATTTACCATTTCTCTTCGTCCTTCTTTCCTATCCCTTCATGCCTTCTGAGCTTCACCCCTGTGCAATTGCTGCCCTTTGGATCTGGTATGGTGGCCTTTTCTAATTAGTGCGTACCTCTCGGGTGTTGTTCACTTTACAGGCCTATCTATTGTTTGAGTGAAAGTTGAACACGGGATGTCCACACACCTAGTGGTTGGTTGGTGGTTGTGTGCTGCGGAGTTGCTTCCAACTCATAGTGGTCCTATAAAGGGTTTCTAAGGTTGTAAATCATTACGGGAGCAGAAAGCCTCATCTTTCTCCCAATGAGCAACTGGTAGATTTCAAACTGCTAACCTTTAGGTTAGTAGCCCAGCTCATAATCCACTATGCTACCAGGGTTCCTTACCTACTCACCTCCTGATGGACATTTATGTTCTTTCTACCTTTTGGTTATTGTGAACAGTGCTGCAGTAAACATTGATGTACAAGGATCTACATATTTTCTGCCTCTCTTTAAGGAGCCTTGCTGGTGCTGTGGGTTAGACGTTGGGCTGCTAGCTACAATGTTGGTGGTTCCAACCCACCAGTCACTTCCAAGTAGAAAGATGAGGCTATCTGCTCACTTCAACATTTAGTCTCAAAACCCCTGTATTGGGTCGCCATGAGTCACAATTGACTCGTGACATTGATTTTGGTTTGTCTATCAAAATGCATTCTTATCATTTCTTCAGATCTGTCTTCAAATTCATAAATTCACTTGAGTTATTTCTAATCTGCTTTTTAAATTCATTGTATTTTAAATTTCAACAATTGTTTTTCTACCTAAAGCTTCTACTTGCTTATTTTTCAAATACGTGAAATCATTTTAAGATTTTCTTATTCATTTTTATTCCCTCTTGTTGTTGTTAAGTGCCATCGAGTCGGTTCCAACTCACAGTGACCCTGTATTTCTGAGGAGCAGCTGGTGAGCTTGAACTGCTGAACCACTGACCTTGTGGTTGAGTGCTTATCCTATCACCACACCAGGACTCCTATTCCATCTTAGATTTGAACAAACATTTAACAGTCATTTTACACCCTGTATCTGAGAGTTATAATATTAAAAATCCTGGGAGAATATAAACCTGTTGGTTGTCTTAGTCTCACCACTGATGTCTTTCTGGCCGTTTTTAAAGTGAGTTCATATTTTGCTAAACAAAATCTTTAAGAGTCCACAGGGACTAGAAGAAGGATGCTTCTCTCCATAGAGGACTGAGTTTGTTTCTGCCAGGTGTAAAGGTATGAAAAAATTTAATATAACTTCTTTTCCAGGTGAAAATACAAATTCCAAATCTATATGAGGGCAGGCCTATGCTTTCACACTTTCAGAAGAAATTCCTCATACACACCACATCCCAGGCAGGACAGAGATATAAATATAAGGCTTCTGAGTCAAAACACATTATTTCAAAGCTATTCTTTCTTCATCAGATGTGTAATTCTTTTAGAGCGCTAGGCTTTGTACAGGGGCCTCATGGGCTGCACTTTGATAAAGCTCTACATTTCTGGAAGTAGCCACACCACCAATCAGCTTCAGGGCCTGGGCCACAAACTCTCTACTTTTAGTTCCTAAGTTTTGCTATTTTCTGATCTGCCGTTGGGAATTTTCTTGACTTTCTTCCAGGTTAAACAATACACATAAAAATAGGTTGTTTTCTCTGACTTGGTATCTTAGTGAAAAGGCTTCTCAGAGTTTCTATGCCACCATGCTGCCACTCACTCTAAGGGGGCTAAGTATTTTGAAGACTGAAAGAACATAATCAACATGTCATGCTTAGGCGTCAACGGATTTCTGACATTCTCCATTTCTTCTACTTACCCGTGCAAAGTCAAAATGGGGTTCATACTGTCCTCCAACTCCGTAATTGGCTACCTGCAGGAGAAAAACAAAGCATGAGTGGAAGAGCGATCAGGATTGAGATTGTTGTTAGGTGCCATCAATTCAGTTCTGATTCATAGTGACCCCTATATACAACGGAACAAACACACTGCTATCCTCACAACCAGTACTACGGTTAAGCCCGGCATTGCTGCCATCGTGTTAATTCATCTCGTTGGGGGTCTTCCTCTTATTACTGACCCTCTACTTCACCAAGCAAGAGCTCCTTCTCCGGAAACTGGCCTTTCCTGATGACATGTCCAGGGTATGTGGGACAAAATCGCACTATCTTCATGTCTAAAGACTCTTCTGGCTGTTACTCTTCCAAGACAAATCTGTTCCATGGGATAGGCAGTATCCTTCGCCAACACCATAATTCAAAGACATTATGTTTTTCTTCAGCCATCCTTACTCATCATTCGGCTTTAACATGCACGTGAGGTGACTGACAATACTGTGACTAGGGTCAGGCACACCTTAGTTTTCAAAGTGACAACTTTGTTTTTTTAAACAAGGAATAAAAACTAAGGATATTTGTTATTGATGTTAAGTGCTGTCGTGTTGGTTCCAACTCACAGTAATCCTGTATCGGATTTCTGAGGAGCAGCTCATGAGTTTGAAATGCCAACCTTGTGGTTCTAACTGACCTTGCTGTCCAGTGTCAGCAAGGGGTATTTTAGAACTTTAATTAATATGCTTTTCTTTAACAAACATTTGGGGAACACAAAACTTAAACTCTGAGATTTATTTATTTTCACTAACACTCTCATTTGGAACACAACCAAAACTCATATTTTGTAAAGCCTAAAATGCTGTCAAATTCCTAAGTCTATTTCAATAAAATCTCTTGCCCTACATATTTTTTTCCTGGTAAGGTGAATAAAATGCGGACATTAATATGGACTGAACTATTCCTGCTAGAGGGCTGAGCAGCTCCAGCTGGTTAGGGCAAGGTCCAGCCTGAGGCAGCGAAAGAAGTAAGATAAACACCGGGCCTGGGTTCCAGTTCCAGCGCTCTTCGTTACAATGTATATAATTTTAGATACAACCTCAGTTTTATTTGTAAAATGAGGAAAATGATATCTTCCTTAGCACCCTCCCTCCATGGCCTAATGAGAAAACATAATTAAGAGTATTGCCTTCATCAAAGTCTAAGTTGTATGTAAATTATTAGCATTCTGGAATTTTCCTTCCTCTGGTGTGGGACTGTAGGATGAGTACTGGATCTCGAGCTACAAGGTCAGCAGTTGAAACTTAACAACAACAAGGAGAACTGCATGCATTAGCCTGAAAAGCCCTATGAGCGTGAGCAAATACAAGACTGGGGAAGAAAGAGACAGAAGGAAAACATCAAAGGAAACATTTCTCATGTCTGTTGTTGTTAAGTGCCATCGAGTCAGTTCTGACCCATAGCGACCCTGTATAGGGTATCCAAGGAGTGACTAGTGAACTTGAACCACCGACCTTGCAGTTCAAATGGCTTTGCAGTCTGGCACATTAACCCACAGCACCACACCAGAACTCTGATGTCTGTAGGCAACTGAAAATAGGTTTTATTTTTTTACTTTGACTACACAGGCATACTTCTCCCATTAACTCTGTAGTAAATGTCATGGGTAAAAAAATCTAACAGAATTTGGAGAAAATATTTGTTAACCATTTATCTGATAAGAGTCTGTTGTTGTTGTTAAGTGCTGTTGAGTCGATTCCGACCCATAGTGACCCTGTATAGGGTTTCCAAGGAGCAGCTGGTGAGTCTGAGCCACCAACCTTGCAGTTCAAACGACTTTGCAGTCTGACACATTAGACCACAGCGCCACACTAGGATCCAGATAAGAGTCTAGTATACAGAATGTCAGGATAACTTAAAAAACCAATTGCTATAAAAATCATAGAAACCTTTATTAAACAAAAGTATCAAAATAAGAAGTGATTGTTTCTCAACATACCCTCCATCTAAGTCTCTATACTTCCGTACACAGAGTTTTCATTTCTCTAACCCTTCCCTGAAGAATTCTGCTCTCTTTGATTTCTACTATGTGAAACAGTAGTTTGGACAGCCTCCAGGGACTCAAATCATGTTTCTTTGAAATGTTTTTTGAGTTGGAGAACAAAAAGAAGACTGAATGGGCATGGGGTATAAGGTTTTACAGGCTTTTCATAAGACAGCCCTTGCTACCCTTGAAGAATGTGGTTCATTGTGATGAAAAAGAATTCCTCAGCACATCTCTCCTGGCCTTCTTCCTCACAAACGTGCAGCTTTCAACTTTCTAAAACCTTTCCCTAATAAGTGTCAGTGATCATCCCGTGTTCTTAAAGAAAACTTATCTAGATTATCCTTTGGAAACCCCAAAAACCACAGTCACTATAATCTTCTGAGCTGCCCTCTCTGCCTTGCATTTAACTTGACCTACTACCAGATCCCACCGGAAGCCACTGTTCTAGTTGGGCCTTTTTGCCTTTTTTTCTTTTTGAAGGCAGCCTAACGAGAAGACAAGTGTATTACTGAGAGATCTTGTCTGCAGCTATTCACTGGTCACAGAGACAGGTTTTAACACTTCTTGTTTGGAATAAACCTGTGCATGTATGAACAGGAACTCGAGTAGCAATACCTTTTCCCTTATCCTCAAATATAAAGAACACTTACAACTTCCCAGTAAAAATGTAAGTACCCCAATTTTAAAATGGGCAAAGAATTTGAACAGATATTTCATTGAAGAAGACAGACAAATGGCCAATAAGTAAGTACATGAAAAGATGAAAAATACCACTATTGGGAAAATGTAAATAAAAACTACAATAAAACACTTCACTCCCACTAAACGTAGGTTGAAATTTAAAACTAAAAATAACAAGAGGCAGTAGAGTACAGAGAAATTGGAACCCACATACCATGCTAGCAAGAATGTAAAATGGTGTAACCACTTTGGAAAATAATTTCACAGCACCTCAAATATAAATATAGTCACCACATGACCCAATAATTTCACTCTTAAATCTATACCCAAATTAAATAAAAATATCCACACAAAAACCTGTACATGAATATGTTTGAAAGTATTATTTATAACAGCCAAAAAGTGAAAGTAACTAAAATGCCCATGAAATGATGAATGGATATATAAAATATAGCACATCCATACAACAGAATATATTAAACCATCAGAAGGAATGAACTACTGTACTGCTCACACAACACAGATGTACCCTGAAAACAGTCTGTTAAGTGAAAGAAGCCAGATACAAAGGCCATATATTGTAGGATTCCATTTATATTAAATATCCAGTGAAGGCAAATCCACAGAGGAAGAAAGTATACTAGTGGCTGCAGGGGGCTCTGGGAAGGGGAAACAGGGAATGGATACTAATGAATAAGTGGGGATTTTTGTGGTGAAGAAAACGTTCTGGAATTAGATTCTGGTGATAATTGTAAAATTCTCTGAACATAAGAACACCAGAGTAAATACTATACTACATGAATTCTATCTCAATTTGAAAAAGGAAAAATAAATTCTCAAAAGAGGAAAAGAAGCATTCTGGCCACCTGCCAGGCAGATGAGGCCCAGAAACAAAAAACAAAAACGATAGTGTACCTAGAAAATTTTTTCATTTTCTTAAATATTTATAACTGATGGTATGAGAGTTTTTAATGTCTTGATTAAAAAAAACTAAGGCTTACAGAAAATGGTATTTTCCCCACTGATTATTAAGATAACTTTTTGGTTTCAGCTTGTAAGTTTACAACCCCCAAATACCATGCAAACCAAAGACTATCTATCTCTACATTGTCAGGAAATCTCATCTGAAGCATCTCTTGTGGAAGTACAAGGATAATGTGATAATATACAATTGAAGGAGAATATGATTACCTACCTGTAACTCCTCTGCTGTGGAAACATCTAGTCCTGTTAGGTCTTGTATCCTCATATTAATCCGTGACACCACAGGATTTTCATAGCCAGACAGCCAAGCACTAAGAGCAAAAAGAAAAGACTAGCTTTATGGATAATATTTCATTATATATCGATTAATAATTTAAAACCTTTTAAAAAAATATATAGCACAATACAAGGCTATTTAATTAATTTACTTAAAGTGATTTTTATTAATGGTTGCTAGAGAATTTTTAAAAGAGATCATAATCTGAAGTTAATATAGTACAGGAAAAACAATTATAATCTTATTTATTATAAAGCTTCTATGAAAACGGATTAATACAAGGGGGCTTAAAAAAAATTGTGGGAAAATTTCATTATCTTTGCATTCCATTTTTCCACAAACTCTTGAAGATCCTTCATATATGAAAGGTATTTAAAGCTATCAACACTTAATTAAGAGTTTTAAACAATTCTGTAAAGGTATCTACCAAACTGGAGAAACCTGTTGGAGGTAGAGCACAGGAACAAAATGGGGTCGTTAGCTTGAGCTAGATATTATTGACATTCTTATAAGAAAAAAACTCAGTTATTATCTACTTAAATCAAAATCCGTTTTTAAAACGTACTAAGTTTAAAAACATTCACTAAGACTGCCATAATAAAAACAATGGAAAACAGCAAATGCTGGTGAGAATGAGAAACTGAAATGCTCATACAAATGTTTACGGCAATACAAAACAGTGCAGTTGCTTTGGTAAACACTTTAGTACTTCCTCAAAAAGTTAAATTTAGAGTTAGCTTAGGACCAACCAGCAATCCCACTCCGAGACATATACCCAAGAAATTTAAATATGGTATATGTATACAGTAAGGTGCCCTGGTGGTACTGTACGGTAAACACTGGACTGCTAACCACAAGGTCAGCAGCTCAAATCAACCAGCCACTCTGAGGGAGAAAAAATGAGGCTTTCTGCTCCCATAAAGATTTATAGCCTCCAAACCAGGGTCACTATGAATCAGAGTCGACTAGACGGTAGTAGGGTTTTGGCAGTGGATACGCATGGGGTTTCTTTTGGGGGTGATAAAAGTGTTCTAGAATTAAGACAATAGTGGTAGATGTACAACTAAAATTATTAAAAACCATTGAATTGTACACTTTAATGGGGTGATTCTTATGGTAGGGGAATATTTTAATTAAAAAGGGTACATCTGCTTTCTTTCTTTACTTTCCCTCTCATCAAACTTGGATGCCACAGTCCATTTCAGCAAACTTCAGGCAAAAAGTCTAAACCTGTCACCAAACCTTGCTGGAGGAAGTCACAAACTAGGATAGATACAGAGGCCCTCATTCTTGCTCACTCCTTCCTCCACTCGCCATAAACCTCTGAATCCCCGCCCACCCCAGCTTCCCCCTCATAGAGAAAACAGAAAACCATATAATCTAACTATACTTGCACTGATCTGCTCCTTTTATAGTTCATTCACACTAGTCCAAACAGATTTCTTCACACTGCTGTTGTTAGGTGCCATCAAGTCGGTACCGACTCACAGCGACCTTATGCACAGCAGAATGCAACACTGCCCAATCCTGCGCCAACCTCAGCGGTAGCTGCCGCACTTGACCCAGCAATGCTGCCACTTGGCCAATCCATCTCATTGGGGGTCTCCCTCTTTTTCTCTGACTTACCAAACATGATATCCTTCTCCAGTGACTGGTACCTTCTGACAACATGTCCGAAGTTTGAGAGACAAAGCCTGGCCATCCTGGCCTCCAAGGAGCACTCTGGCTGCACTTCTTCCAAAACACATCTGTTGTTGTTTTTTTTGGCATTCCATGGCACTTTCAATATTCTCCTCCAACATGCATATGAGATTATTGAAAATACCATGGCTTGGGTCAGGCACACCTTAGTCCTCAAGCTGACATCCTTGCTCTTCAACACTTTAAAAAGGTCTTGTGCAGCAGATCTGCCTAATGCAATACGTCGTTTGATTTCTCGACTGCTGCTTCCGTGAGTGTTGATAGTTGATCCAAGAATGAAGTCCTTGACAACGTCAACCTTTTCTCCGTTGATAAGAATGTTGTTTATTGGTCCAGTGGTGAGGATTTTTGTTTTCTTGACATTGAGATATAATCCATACTGAAGGCTGTGCTCTTTGATCTTCATCAGTAAACGTTTTAAGTCTTCTTCACTTTCAGCAAGCAAGGTTGTATCATCTGATAACGCAGGTTGTTAATGAGTCTTCCTCCAATCCTGGTGCCATGTTTTTCTTCATATAACAAAGTTTCTTGGGTTATCTGCTCAGCATCTAGGTTGAATAAGTATGGTGAAAGAATACAACCTTGTCGCACACCTTTCTTAATTTTAAAACATTCAGTGTCCCATGTTCTGTTTGAACAACTGCCTTTTGGTCCATGTACAGATTCCTCATAAGTACAATTAAGTTTTCTGGAATACTTGTACTTCGCAATGTTGTTCATAGCTTGTCATGATCCACACAATAGAAAGTCTTTGCATAGTCAATAAAGCACAGGTAAACATCCTTCTGATTTTCTCTGCTTTCAGCCAAGATCCATCAGACATCGGCAACGATATCCCTTGTTCCATGGCCTCTTCTGAATCTGGCCTGAACCTCTGGAAGTTCTCTGTCAATGTATGCTTGCAGCCATTTCTGTTACCTTTAGTAAAACTTTGCTCGCATGGAATATCAAAGATGTTGTCCAATGATTTTGGCATTCCGTTGGGTTGCCTCTCTTTGGAATGGGCACAAATACAGATCTCTTCCAATCAGTCAGCCAGACAGTTGTCTTCCAAATTTCTTGGCAGAGACGAGTAAGTTCCTTCTGTGCCGCCTCACTTTCTTGAAAGATTTCTATTTTTATTCCATCAATTCATGGAGCCTTGTTCTTCGCCAATTCCTTCAATGCACCTTGGACTTCCTCCTTCAGTGTCATTGGCTCTTGATCATATGCTACCTCTTGAAATGGTTGAACATTAACCATTTCCTTTTGGTACAGGGACTCTGGGTATTCCTTCCATCTTCTCTTGATGCTTTCTGCATCATTCAATAATTTTGAACTGAGAATCTTTCAATAACAATAGTGGAGGCTTGAATTTTTTTCTTCAATTTCCCCCAGCTTGAGAAATGCTGAGTGTGTTCTTCCTTTTTGGTTTTCTGATTCCAGATCTTTTTGTTGTAATATTTGGCTTTATCTTCCTGAGTTGATCTTTGAAATTTTCTTTTCAGTTCTTATACCTCCTCATTTCTTCCATTTGCTTTAGCATCTCTATGCTGGAGAGCAAGTTTCAGTGTCTCTTCTGACATCCATTTGACCTTTTCCTTCTTTCTTGTCTTCTCATTATCTAAGGCTACTTCTCTACCTTAGCTAATGTTCTTAAGTGTAGTCGAGTCAGTTTCAAGTCATAGTGACCCTGTATAGGGCTTCTGAGGAGCGGCTGGTGAACTAGAACCACCAACCCTGTGGTTCAAATTAACCTTGCAGTCCAACGCATTAACCCACAGTGCCACACCAGGCCTCCTAAATAGCAAAGGTGCTTGCTGGGAACACCCAATCCCTCTCGTATAATCAACCTCTCCCACTAAAGCATTTTTCCCACTACTTTTAACTGGGTTTAAGACTCTCTGGGAAGCCCTGGGCGGTACAGAAGTTTAACACACTTGGCTGCTAAATGAAAATTGGAGGTTCTAGTCCATTCAAAGACACCTGCGGAAAAAGGCCCGACAATTTACTTAGAAAAATATCAGTCACTGAAAACCCTATGGAGGACAGTTCTACTCTGAGACTTGTGGGTACCTAAGAGTCAGAGTTGACTCACAGACAACTGCTTTTGCTTCTCCAATTAAAAACGAAATAAAAATTTAAACTCTATTCCTCAACTCCCTATTCTCACTGCAGCTACCAAACTCTTTCCCCTTCCTCTTCAAGCCAACATTTTCAGACTCCTCACTTCTCAACTCATTTCAATCTAGCTTTGTTGTTAAGCGTCACTGACTTGGTTCTGACTTATAGCAACCCTGTTTGGGTTTCAGAGAAACAGCTGGTGGATTTCAACCATCAACCTTGTGGTTGGCAGTCCTTTATGAATCCATCAAAACTGCTTTTGCTACTGTTACCCACAACCCTACTATCCTCCTAAAGCCAATGACATTTTCCAGTTCTCACCTGTGAATCCTGCTCTGCCAGTTCTCACCACCCCAGCTACATACACTGGTCTCTAGAACCACTTTTGGCAGAAACAAGAGGCGTAATATTTGGATAACTACCACTCTCCACTATGTGCCCAATCTACAAAGGAGCCATCCAAAAACCCAAGAATGTTCCCCTTTGTAGAATACCTAACCACTTCCTAAAGAATACACATACACCTTCATTCCAACCTCTCCATTTCCTGACTGCTAGAATTACATCTTCAGAACAATGAGCCTTCATGCCCCACCTGTGACTGTTGCCCTCCCCATGTGGCTGGGTTTTCAGAACACAGACATCCACCTCGATCATCTCTGGCAGGTCACCTGCTCCACTAACAAACGTTGCAGGGATCTCAACAGGTACCTAAGAGTTCCAAGGCTTTTTAAATCTTTGCAGGAACAGAAAGTATCATCTTTCTCCAGCAGAGCAGCGGCAGCTAAAACCACAGATATTATGGCTTGCAGTCCAGTGCTTATCATATGAAGAGTAGATGCTCAATAAATGTCTGCTGAATAAATGGATGAATCCTAAAAACTTGTTAAAACTTATCCAAGATTTATCCTATTTTATTCTAATTATTTATGTGACTATCTCTTGCAAATTGATATGGGGCAACTGAGCAGAATTCCTCAGTGTAACAGAAATGGGAAGAATAAAATAATTTTACTGTTGTAAAGGATCTAGTTGATAAATATAATAAGAACTTATTTCTCCCAATTAGTTCCAGGTAGAACTAATTTGATTATTGTTGTTAAGTGCCATCGAATTGGTTCTGACTCACTGCAACCCTGTACAGGGTTTCCAAGGAGTGGTTGGTGAGTCTGACCTTGCTGTTCAAACCAACCTTGGGGTCGAGCGCTTATCCTACAGCGTCACACCATA